CCAATGCTATCACTTCTATAAAATGCCATTAATGCCCTAATAAAATGTAGATATTATTACTTGTTAAATTCCTTATTCACTATGCATATTAGCGTTGCAGCTCTGTGGAAAAGATGCTATTTCATGCCATCGGCATTTTCTTCTATGCATTCTACAAGAACAGGAATTAAATACTAGGATTGTGCAACCTGTAAGCAGGTTGTAAATCAAAAACATGCTCCTATCAGCAGTAAATCAATTCAGTCTATCTGAGCACCTGCTCAGTGTGATGAAAAGCATCAGCCCCTGGAAAATGAAGTGTGCGTGACTTTGTCTTGACTGTAATCTTGCTGTAATTCTAAACATTGTAAAAAATTTTTATTAATCTTACTGCCTGTTAAACTTCATGATGGAGATGGAACTTGGAAGTTGTGGGGCAGAAGAAAGGGAAACCTTGAGGAAATAATGCTTTTAATGGGACTAAAAAACAAATCAGTGAAATCAGATGTGGTGGTGCATAACTGTTATCATAGAGACATAAAGGGCTGAGACATGTCGATTGATTTTTTGAGGCATTCTTGGGAAAATTGATGATATTCTGTTTAAAAAAGCAGAAAATAAGATGGCAGGAAATAGATCATTTATGGATCACACTTTGGTTCAATTCTTAGCAATGCAGAAAACAAGAATGGCATAAAAAAATTAGAGTGCATTTCAAAAGGGAAAATATGTATTCCAACAGGCAATAGCTCTCAATGTAACAACTAATTTGACCACTGAAGGAAGAGTTTTGACCTTTAGTGTCCTCTACAGCACTGTTACCATTTCCTGGATGAATGAAGTGACTAAATCATAGAACAAGAGTGTGTCCCCAGGACCCGCCCCTACCTGTGTCATTGGCGATCTCGTTGTCTGCACAAGGGGTGCAATCAAAACAGCAGGCAGCCTTTCCCTCCTGAGGACTTTTTCTAAATCCAGGATTGCAACTGTCACTGCAGACTGAGCGGGGAGTCTAAGAAAAAATATGTAATGGTAACTTCTTAGATATTTATTAACTTCTTCAGAGCTAAAGAGACAAACTTAATTTGTATACATGTATAAGGAAAATTATGTCATTGCATGAAAAATTTATTTTACAATATGAAACATACATTTACAAAAACACAATTAAGTAAGTGCATTTCTTTACCATTCGTCACAAAACTAATATACAATTTTCTTTCAAATTGAAATCTTACTCAATTTCCACATGTGACCATTGAAGTATCAAATTTCCACATGTGACCATTGAAGTATCAAAACTGGGGTCATGAACCCTATGAGAGCTTATTGCTTACTTGTGGTCAAGTAAGTGCGTCATGCTTGGGAACAACGTACTTCTGTGACTCCAATGGCCCAGTCTATATTATTCTCAGACAAAATCAATTTTTGGCCATGGGGAGCATGTGAAGAAAATGTTCCCAGTTTAACCTTAAGTCTCAGGCCATCTGGAAAATTCCAAAAATTGAGAATGTCAAAATCTGAATCCATTTTTCTTCTGTAATCCAAGTTCACCTTGTCTCCAGTAGGATTATTAAATTGGACAATCTTCAGAAATGGATGCAACTAAAAGAGACACATCATGCCATGTAAACCGGGCTCCAGGATAAAGACAGAATATATGGGTGGGGGAAAGTTCCTAAGTGTATTTAATTCTTTTTCTGAAAAACAGTTTTAACACACATATCTGTTAAATTGCAATCTATAAATGTTTAATGATAAAATGACACATTGGTCTACAAATATCAGTCAGTTTCAGGAAAACAAAAGCATATTCTGTGTAAGCCCATTTACACAAGGTAGGTGTACAGCTGGGTTAGGTGAAAATATCAGCAGTGAGTGCAAAGCTTTTCAAACCCCCAACTTCCCTTTTCCATCTGACTGTTCCCATGGCATTCACCAATAAAGTAGTTCATAAATATCTGAAGAGTTTGCAGAATTAGATGAAATTGAATTCTATGCACTATCAGATTTAATGCCATTTAGTTTTGCAAGTGACTACATGTTTCTCAAGGGTCACTTAAAAAAATCATGGAACAAGTTAATGTGGGTAAGTGGTTGACCTCTAATAGGCAGAAGCAAGGAGCTGGCCTCCTGTTTCCTTCTCCTTGCCAGTGGATATGAGATTGAGGGTCATTTAAAATCACCTCAACAATCTCTTCCTTAAAAAGAAGTGTAACACTCAAAGTCAGTATTTTCAAGAAATAGTTCTTATATCTAGGGTGAAGCACATAGAATAACTTAAGAGAGGCACCTTGATGACACTGCCTGCCATCCAAGAAAAGACATTACCTGCCAGGGGTGAAAAGTCATCACTTGTGTATTTCTCAAAGGTTGTCTTTGTAGTTCTTCAACAAGCATTTCATGGAAAGCATGGGCTACAGCATATGCAGCACTGTATATATTATAACTCTGATCACTGATGTCTGGGTCAAAACGATTTGGAGGCAACCGAGCTATAGAGGCATTAGGGGTACAGTTCTTCAAGGCACAGTCTGACTCAGAAAATGAGCAATCAAAATTCTTGTACCAGTACATAACAAGGTAAGTGTCTTCTGGGTATTTGAAAGGGGTAGCTTCCTGGACAAAAGTTTTGAATCCTGCAATCTCTTCATGATGGTGTGAAAAAACAAGGAGCCCATGGAATGAATCCAGTATGAAATCTCTCCCAGACAGGTCAGCATGCCATTGGGAATTTGTCACCCAGATTTTCCATGTCACTAAGCTCTGAACGATATTGTAATTCACCTCATCTGAAGTATAAGTGTCATAGTAAATGACCACCACATTGGCAGATGATGTATCTGTGGTCAGGATTTCATGATTTTTTACTGCTGAGACAAAAGACACAGCCACAGTTGACACCATTTTCACAAAGGCCACACAGATTCTGTTCCTGTCCATCTCAGCTCTTACATCTGAGAGAAACTGAAGACCCTTCTGGCCTTCTGTGATGAGCAGGCCCACCCAGGTCCAGTGGAAGTGGAGCATCAAGGACACCATGGCAAGGGCCAGAAATGTGTCTTTTGGGGCCATTTGATGGAGAGAAGGATGCTGGCCAGTGTCCATCAGCGTAGGATCAAATGAGCTGAAGGTAACCTAAAAGGAAGGAAATCTGGGTGATGCACTGAAGTGTGGATGGAAAGCGCAATAGCAGTCCCAAGTGTGCTGAGAGACATCTCCACATTGTAGGAAATGCACATTCTTCCCATCCCTCTACACATTTCCCTCAGGAGATTTTCACAAAGTGAATGAGTGTATTTAGACCCTGGAAACATACTTCTTTCCTCATTTCCTTCCTCTATGATAACAAAAGAAAATAAATTGTGTGAAAGCCACTAAGCCTCTGTGTATGGACTCCAGTACACTACACACTTTCAAAGAGCCTCATCCTTGCTCATTTTTAACCCTCTAGTTTCCAGCTAAGTGAACCTCCCTCATGTTGTTCCATCAATCCTGTCTGAACAACATTCACCTGTGGAAATCTGTAGAGCTCCAGCAATGGTCCAATCTGAGCTGAGGTCCTCCATGGCATTTCTGTCAGTACTACTGCACATTTGCTTTCTCTTCTACACGTGTAATTAGGAATCTCATGTTGTCCTGTGAGCAAAATGAAGGAATTCTCTAGTATCCTCCAATGACTGTAAATGAAATTGTGGAACTCATAGCCCAGAGTAATGTTGGGCAGAAGATGAGGATTCCCGTTGATCTCTTCTATGGCAAAAGTGAAGGCCAGGTAGTTCTGGTAGTTGTTGGTTGTAAGCCTGCATAGAGAGCAGAGGTCCATAGGGAAAGGCTCAGTCTTACCTTCCAGTCTAGTTTAATACCTTTTATGTGTGGACGTTTGTGTTCTTTCCACACACATGTATAATTAAAACTGAGTATGTATGTGATGATGTTGGAACGCTGACTTTTAATAACATACTAGGAAGTAGATGAGTAATGGGACTGAATTTCCCATGAAGGAAATTGGTGGATTTCCAAGATTCTCAGCAGAGTTCCTTCATTACTATATTTGTTGTACAGTTAGCCTGACCTTACTGTAAATGATTACAAGAATATTCTGTATGGCATCGCACAATATAGGTCTTTGCAATTGTGATATTTTTATATACCATCACTGTTTGCAAGTAGAAAAGATGTATTTATTGAGGAATACAGAATATTCAGTCTTCCTTGCATCCATTTCTGTTTAATTGCTTTTTTAGCAAAAAAAATATATATTTCTTTAATATTATTACTTAAGTACATCTCAAGCAAAATTGCTCTCTGTTCTCATTCATGAGAGGAAAGACTGTGGTGTAGGATACATTAATCCTCTTAATTTAACTATATGGTAATACAAATATATTGTAGCACATAACACCTAATGTCTAAATATACATGTAATTTTATTTGATAACAAAAGATAAAATCAAAAATCAAACTGAAATTTTTCAGATAAAAACTTAGATTTCGCTATGAATACAGCAGAGGGGCTGAGCTGATAGCTCAGTGCTTTCAGCACTTGCCTGGCAAACACAAGGTCTTGCATTCAAACCCCAAGAACAAAAACCAAAACCAAACAAAAATAAAGAATAGAACGGGCGCGCTCTTTTCTCAGGACGGTGGAGCCTGGGTAGCGTCACCGTTACTCTGCGGAGATGACTGTTGATATTGGCAAAGTCGAAGTTAGGACTGGAGGCACTTTGCTGTCTTCAATCAAGTTGAGGGTATAAAAATGCAGAGCAATAAGACCTTTAACTTGGAGAAGCAGAACCATACTTCAGCTGCTGGTGATGCTGAAGCACCATCAGCATCATCACCAGCAGCAGCAGCAGCAGCAACAGCAGCAGCAGCCGCTGCCACCAATACCTGCAAATGGGCAGCAAGCCAGTAGCCAAAATGAAGGTTTGACTATTGACCTGAAGAATTTTAGGAAACCAGGAGAGAAGACATTTACCCAATGTAGCCGCCTTTTTATGGGCAATCTTCCCCCTGATATCCCTGAGGAGGAAATGAGGAAACTATTTGAGAAATATGGGAAAGCAGGAGAACTTTTCATTCATAAGGATAAAGGCTTTGGCTTTATCCACTTGGAAACACGAACCCTTGCAGAGACTGCCAAAGTGGAGCTGGATAATATGCCTCTCCGTGGAAGGCGACTGCACATGCGCTTTGCCTGCCATAGTGCATCCCTTACAGTCCGAAACCTTCCTCAGTACGTGTCCAACGAACTACTGGAAGAAACATTTTCTGTGTTTGGCCAGGTGGAAAGGGCTGTAGTCATTGTGGATGATCGAGGAAAACCCTCAGGAAAAGGCATTTTTGAGTTCTCAGGGAAGCCAGCTGCACGGAAAGCTCTGGACAGATGCAGTGAAGGGTCTTTCCTACTAACCACATTTCCTCGGCCTGTGACTGTGGAGCCTATGGACCAGTTAGATGACGAAGAAGGACTTCCAGAAAAGCTTGTTATAAAGAACCAGCAATTTCACAAGGAGCGAGAGCAGCCACCTCGATTTGCACAGCCTGGCTCGTTTGAGTATGAATACGCCATGCGTTGGAAGGCACTTATTGAGATGGAGAAGCAGCAGCAGGATCAGGTGGACCGCAACATCAAGGAAGGCCGTGAGAAGCTGGAGATGGAGATGGAGGCTGCTCGCCACGAGCACCAGGTCATGCTGATGAGGCAGGATTTGATGAGACGCCAAGAAGAACTTCGAAGAATGGAAGAACTGCATAACCAAGAGGTCCAAAAACGAAAGCAACTGGAGCTCAGGCAGGAAGAGGAGCGTAGGCGCCATGAAGAAGAAATGCGGCGACAACAAGAAGAGATGATGCAGCGACAGCAGAAAGGATTCAAGGGAACCTTCCCTGATGCACGAGAGCAAGAGATACGGATGGGCCAGATGGCTATGGGAGGTACTATGGGCATAAACAACAGAGGCGCCATGCCCCCTGCTCCTGTGCCAGCTGGTACCCCAGCTCCTCCAGGACCTGCCACTATGATGCCCGACGGAATCTTGGGATTGACGCCACCAACAAGTGAACGCTTCGGCCAGGCCACTACGATGGAAGGAATTGGGGCAATTGGTGGAACCCCTCTGGCTTTCAACCGTGCAGCTCCTGGAGCTGAATTTGCTCCAAAGAAACGTCGCCGATACTAATAAAGTTGCAGTGTCTAGTTTCCTGAAAAGCTTAAAAGAAGAAATCCTTTTGGACTAGCCAGAATTCTACCTTAAAAAAGTGTTAGGAATTCTTCCCAGTAGTTAGGTCTTCCCTACCTGTACTACTCTAAGGGAGTATGCTGAGGGCAGAGGGCAAGGGAGGGGTGATACTTAACAAATTCTGTGTGGTTTGTTTAATCGGTTCTGTGTGACGCATTCCTGAAATTTCAAATATAATGAATTGTTGAAGGCTTAGGGAACCATGACAGGATGATTCCTTAGAGTCCCATTGATTTTGAGCATTCCGGGTTTTTTTGTCCATCGTGTTTTATTTGCTTTCTACACCCCTCACGCCCAGAGACACTGCCACATATGCCACAAAAAAACCAAACGTCTCCCAGTGACCTTAGCCCCATTGCTCCATTTGCTCCCAGGTGAGAATTCAGGCAAATGTCCTCAGGCCCAGACAGCATATGTACGGTTCTGTTATATCCCATATATTACCCTTTCATGTACTAAAGACATCTTCTCTTTAGAGATTTTCATTTTAGTATATCTTTAAAAAAAAATCTTGTGTTAACTTGCCTCCATGTTTTCCTTGGGAAAGGATATCCCAGAAATGACATTTTTTGTGTTTATGATGTTGCTGTTCACAGCTTTTCTTGATAGGCCTAGTACAATCTTGGGAATAGGGTTGCTGTATGCTGAAGGTCCAACAGTAGCTCTTAGCCTTGCCTATCTTAGGTAGTTATGCTGTGCATTTTTTATTGGTGTACCATGTTTGATTTATTCCTGATACCTTAAATTTGGAGTTTTTCTGAGAAATGGAGCAGTAATACAGCATCAACTTATTAAAGTACATTTTAAGCCTTTAAAAAAAAAAAAAAGAATACAGCGTGCACAGAGCAGATGGATGAGGGGCAGGGATACAAGTTCGGCCTCCTTACTGGGATTCATGGCACAGACAATTGCTCCACTTCTGAGATATTTCTGTAAAGAAAACTGACCCGAATTTTGAAAAATGCCATCTCCTTTGAATGGTTTGGAATGAAGCTTCTTGCAGAAGCTGTGTATCAAGACCATTTTCATTGAAAAAGTGGCCACAACAAGATTTCTTTGTTAACTTCAGAATTATGCAGCGTTGTTCTGGAGCTTCTACACTTTACAATAGTCATCAAGTTAGCAGAAAAAAAATTGAAAAGCAGGCATTGTTTGCTCATTAGGCATAAGATTATTCCCCTATAAAAAGAAATTTCTTGTGTGAACAACAATCAAAAACTAAGTAAAAGAGAGTGTTATAGTTTGTGTCTAGTTGTTCCCCCAAAGCCTCATGTAAGTCATAGGGCAGACACAGCTCAAGGAGCAGCCAGTGATTTGAGGGGTGGGGCCAGAGGTCCAGGGTGGGCCAAGGGGCGGGGCCAGAGGTCCAGGGTGGGGTCAAGGGGCGGGGCCAGATGGGCGGGGCCAAGGAGGGGTGGGGCCAAGGGCAGAGCCAGAGGACCAGGGTGGGGTCAAGGGGTGGGGCCAGAGGGCCAGGGTAGGGTCAAGGGGCGGAGCCAGAGGGCCAGGGCGGGGTCAAGGGTGAGGCATGAACCCATAAACTAGCAGCATGCACTGTGGCTCTGAAGGCCTTTGGCCTCTCTTAGAGGTGTGGAGCCCATCATGCTGGACACGGCAGCACCCCAGCCTCTCCTCCAGACCCTGTAGCGTGGGGTGGCTGTATCTGTGATTGAAACTGCCTTGTGCAGAGCGGAGATATTGGTAGAAGACAGAGGCTGACCCTCCTTCCTGAGCAAATAAGTCCATGTAATTCAGGCTGTTTTGAACTTTGAAACTTCCAGTAAATGTCAGCTAAATAAACCTTTCCTTCCCTCATTTTGAGTGTCAAGTATTTGTCTCAGCAATGAGAGAAGAGTAAATAAGATGGAGAATAACACAAAGATTTCCAATGTAATATTGGTAAGTGACAGTTCTGAGAGAAATATGTATACTATAGTAAGAGCCTCCACAAAACTTAGACATTTTTATAATCCCTAAAATTCTAGGAAAGTGAGAAAAGGAAAAACGATGTATTTCATAAAGGTAATATTTTAAAAACTATCAAAGTTTCCATTACTGAAAAAAATAAAAGATATAATTTTTATATCAATTGGAAATATTACACTAGCCCTCTGAAATCTGTAAAAGCGGTGAGATTTTCAGAATTTAACAGAAGCATGCTATTTACAGAAAAAACAACTAAAGATATAGATGCATTAATGGGAAAAATTATAGAAAAGTAGCATCTATCAACTGTCTGTCAATTACCTGTCTCTAATAAAATTTGAGTAGAAATTCACTGAATATTAAATTATTCATATTGAAGAACAAACTCTTATGAAAATTGAAATTAAGCGAGTGCACAAATATATCCGCTAGGTACTAAGTACTTTTTTAAATATAAGAGCAATGAGCAGCACAACTATATTCTTTTTTACGTATTTCGTACAGGGTCTAGATGGCCTCATTACACAGATCAGACACAAAGTGATCCTCAGGTTTTCAGCCTCACAAGCACCAGGGTTATAGGCTCACACCACAACCCCCAGTCTCAGTCTCTGTCTCAGCATGCCCCTGGGGGAATGGTGGGGGGGCAGCACAACATGCTGAGGCTCAAACTCTAGTCCTTGCATCTGCCTAATCAAGAACTGTAAACCTCTGAGCTATCTGACTGGCCCACAATATATTTTCAATATAATACAGATGTTAATATTATGCAATGCATTCCAAATAGGAACAAGAAACAGGCAAATGATGGGTTTTATTTTCCTACCCAAGAAGCTCATTATCTATTTCTGGGTATGTGCTATTTATATAAAAATATGTATGGGGCCAGCAACAAAGCTCAGCAGACTAAAGCACCTGCTTAGACAAGTTTATTCAAGCACATGGACCTGGGCTCAAACCACATGCTGTGACAGCACCACATTCAGGGTGGGCTGAGTCAGCCGTAATCCCAGTTTAGTTGCCCAGGTCTGTAATCCCAGCAATGGGGAGGTTGAAAATAGGAGGACCACTATGATTCTGATCTGTGTAGTGATACCCTGCTACAAACAAATACGTTGTATATGTATGTGTTTTTATCAATGTGCTTAATGCTCAAATTTGACTCCGGTTCTTATTAGTGAGTTAATTTGAGTGACAATTCAGAACTATTTTTGAGTATTTGGTTTAGAGAATTCTGCTCTAAATTTAAACCCTGTGAGAGGATTAATTAAATGTCACTTATTAAAAATCATGAGAATGATTTTGTTTCAGGACATAAATCTCATTATATGCACTAACATGTGGTTTGTATGCGGAGGGATATTCTGAGTGGTGGATGGGAAGTGTGCATTTAGAGCTCACCAGAAGCTTGGAGGGGAATCATGAGGGAGTCCAACAAATCCTTCCAGAAAGGATCCTGAAGGAGACAGCCCAGTGTAATCAGAAGGCATCTGAGTATAGTGGAGAATGAGAAACTGGCCAGATATCGGGCATTATGAGATTTCAAGAATAGTTCAAGGCTGTAAGATGTTTCTATTCCTAGGAGGAAAGAATGACATATCTGCTCTCCTACTGTCATGTTCTGTCCCCACATATGCCCAGATTGTCAGGCTGCTGTGGAAGGGGGCTCTGCTCTAGGCCTACACACTGAGCTCTGTCCATGACTGAAAAGAAAGCACTTGCCCAGACTGATGCAGCCCCCAGGAACAAGAGTTTCGGAACCCAGGCGAGAATTTGGATTCCTGCTAAAATGAGAAAGAAAAATGATACAACTTTTAGAAAATAAAAATGTTTATACATAAGCAATTTATATATTTTGTATCATCTTCATAAGAAAAGTCTAATTTTAATACTTTAAAGGATCATATTGCTCAGACATAAAATCGCAGCTGTCACAATATTTGTACTGTAGCCTTGATAACACCGCGGCTTTTCAGCACATAAATATAAATACAAAGTTGCATTACTCTCTTTTTGCTTTTTTCTCAGCATATTTTACTTACATATTACTATATATTAATAATTATTATGCCTACGTAATTCTTAGCCTTTCAACCTATTATAATTCATTTCTTACCAATGTTCCAAACTTTTTTCTTAGATTTTATTTTTTGCATAATTTTATTGAGAAACAAATAGCAATGAGACAGTTTGAAATCAAACTGGTAGGACAGTTTCAATAACTAACACATTTCATACTCTCTTCCTAGTGGTTATTTGTTGTACAAGATGTGGACATGATATTCTATTTACAAACACCGTTAGAACAAATCCCTGTATCCATTAAGAGAATGTAACTGTCTATCTATCCTAACCATTTTGAATACACAGACACAAAATGGTCATTCAACTGTATCCCCTTTTTTTGTTTAGTTCTGTCATTTAAATATTATAGGGGTGTGAACTCGCAAAATATTACAAAATAGTCCAGTAGTCCATAATAGTATTGAGTCTTCCGCTTGTCGGGCAATGTCAGAAATTGCTGACCTGAGTCCCCTACAGCTCAACATAACAGCGTGGTTTTACTTCTTATATTTTGTTTTTATACTTTTCTGCTGGATGTTTAAGACCAAGATAAAGCAAGACCTATGTACAAGAGTTGTAGCTTTTGGATCTGATAAGGTCAGTCAAATCCCCTCAGAATTTATCCTGAGACCCTGTACCTCAAAATTGCTAATTATTTCTTATTGTCATTTCAGGAGGGAAATAGATGTGTCATGCTTAGAGGAATGCTCTCAGCTTAAAGCTAACAGATGTTGAACAGTAGGGGTGGAGACATAGCTCAGCTGCACAAGCACCAGCCTGGCGAGCG